CCTTCCTTCCTTCCTTCCTTCCTTCCTTCCTTCCTTCCTTCTTCTTTCTTTTGGATCTGGTTTGCAATTGGGAGGCAGTAAATAACAGCAGGTAACAGCAAACACTTTGGGTCCACACACTTAGTTTAAGTTCTGGCTGTGACTTTGGGCGGATTGCTTACCCTCTGGGAACCTCATGTGTTAAAGGGGACACATGTACCAATTTCACAGCTTGTTGCAAGATAAAATAGAAACATTCACTGCACACAACATATAGTGTCTGGAACATGGTAAGACTCCGTGAATCATAATGATTATTACCATTATCCTGGAAATTCAGAGATCTGATTTTTGCCTGGAAGTTTTCATATAAGGTCACTGTAAGTAGTACTATGATAATTTTTCCCTCTCTCTCTTTTCCTCCCTCCCTCCCTCTCTTCCTTCCTTTTTTTTCCCTTCTTTCCTCCCACAATCCCTCCTTCAATTCCTAATTTTTTTCCTATTAAAGAGTCTTCCAGACTCCAGCTAGCCTTTGTAAAAAAATAGAAGGGTTAGATTCTGTCCTGACTAGAAATACTCATTTCAAGGAACCCAACTAGAAGTGATCAATGCAAAATTGATTTTTAAGAAATTCGAATGTAGATGTTCCCACTGTGCCTGGAAAACAACAGGAAGCTTCCGCAGCCCCAAGGCTTCCCAGAAAGCTGGAGCTGAGGCCCTGGCCTGACTCAGCGTTGCCCTGGCAACAGGAGGGCCTGGAGGGCCTCAGTCCCTGATCCCTTAATCTGAGGCGCTGCCACACAGTGCCTCAGGAAAGGTCTCCCGGACCTGGCTGCTCACCGCTCTGACTAAAGAGGGAGCAGGAAAGATGGATTCGTGGTTCTTTCTACTCAAGATAGCTGCCCACAATTCTCCCTGATGGCCAGGCTGTTCCAGATCCCCGAGGGCTCAGTTTACAGAATGAGGCTGCAAAGTCACCACCAGATTCTAAGTGCTATCAGGGCAGCTGATGTTTTCTGATCCTTTTGTGTTTCTTCATGGAGTCCAGCACAAAGCTTTGCACACAGTGGATGCATAATACATACTGGGGGCTGTATGACAGTGAACGTCCCATTCGCTGCCTCTTGCATTAGTATCAGTGAGTTGGCTTGGGTGACCAGCTGTGAAGTAACAGGGCTCGGCTCTAAAGTCCTCTCTGCCTTTGAAGTTCTTTTTGATTCTTAGTACAGCCATCATTTTTACAGACAGCAATGTTCTGCGTGATATGTTCCATTTTCCCCAATTTTATCTTAAGTCAAAAAGTCTGCAATAAAATGGAATAACTTAAAAGTGGTGCTGACTTTTTTCAACAGCCACACAGGTTCCAGGGAAAGAACTTTGTGGCTGAGCACATTGGCTTGGGAGCAGAAGGTTTGAGTTCAAATCCTGACTCTACCATTTGGTTGCTGTGTGACTTTAGGCTTCCTTAACCTCTCAAGATCTCAAGCTCTTCACCTATAAAATGGGTGTAATGGTACATATATCAGAGTTTATAATGCCCATAAGGTCTTCAAAAATAAGTGTTCAATAAATGGCAGTTAATTCTTTATGGTATACAACCTCATGGGGCCAATGGCAACAGCAACTTAGAAATTTGAGTCTTTCTAATTAAGGGTACCCAAAGAAATCACAGTGAGAGTACCAGACTACCCACAGGCATGGGCTCCCACCTGTGGCAAACCTGGTGTGGGGCTGAAAGGTGGGTTTAGACCTCTGTCCACTTGGACATCAGGATGTGGTTTGATTTGATTTTCTTCTCACCACAGTGATTTTCTGTTTCTGCCTGTTGAAGAAATTTCCTTCTAAGAGATTTGTACTTTTAGAATACAACACTAGCGCACTGAACTTGTTTTTTTTCCTAAGTTAAATCATAATTAGCCATAACTTAATAATGAAATTAGCAAACTTTGAGACCTTACTATGTGCCCATATCTTTGCTATGTATTTATGCTTTATGTTACTTAGGTCTGGGAACAATGGGAACTTCTCTATCCCCATTTATTAGATGAGGAAGTTGATGTTAATGAAACTTGTTTAGGGTCAAGGTCGCACAACCTTTAAATCTGTATCTGTTTGATTCTAGAGTCTGTGTATACTTCAATGACTGTCCTCTATTTGATTTTGGCCTCCGATCACCAGCAGATAGTACAGCAGATGGACAGGGAGGATCGGGGAGCAGTGGGGAGGTGGGACAAGGGGACCCATGCTTTAGATTATAGGGCGCTGGGCCTAGAGGAGAAAGAGGTATAAAGAAGGGGTTAGAGCCAAGGAAGGGGAAGTACAGGTGCAACATGCCCTGGCAGCCCAGCCCCACACAAGAAATACCAGTCTTTGGCTATACTGGGTTCAATTCTTTTAAAGACTAGAGTTCCTAGGAAAAGAAAGGCTCTTAAGCACCTCCCACTTGATCTCATGTTGTCCTGGTCACTTCACATTACAGATGAAATCACCCCGAGTCTCCAACTTGGGTTCTACCCCAAACCACATGGTCTCCACTGTGGGAGTGCCACCAGCACCGAGGCCTCCAACTGCAGGCCTACAAAGACGGAGCAGCAGAAGACATCTGCCACCATCTTCTTGGCGCTTCAGATATCTTCATGTTCAAAGGAGCCACTTAAACTCAACCTTCACCCACCACTTCCATCACCTGTGACCTGGCCTCCCTATCCAATCTGCTCCCTGATGATCACTGGCATCTTGTTTCTCTCTTGCTCAAAAGTCTTCACCAGTTTCTCATACAAGATCCAATTCAAACTCCACAGCCTTGACACCTCACATCCAGAACCCTTCCGGCACCCTCTGTCCACTCCAAGCTGGCCCTTTCTCTAACTCATCCTTGTGGCCTCCCTGCCAGGCCTTTGCTCTTAAGAACACCCCACATATTAGACCCTCCTTGCTATTCTCATCTATAAAAATTCTCCCTCTTGGACAGACCCCTGGACCCCACCCCCGGGGAATCCCTCCCTGCTCCTGCAAGGCCCACCTGTAGCCTGAGGCCCATTTACCCTCTGCTTGGCAGCTGGTGTTTACTGCACGCTAACCTGATTTCCTGCTCCTTATCCACGCCACCTCTTCAGCTGGATGTCCTCTGATGTTCTACCATCCTTTTAGAAATCAGCTGTGTAAATGCAGGAGCTATATCCTTCCACATGTGAATTCTTGTGCCAACTCTTTCCTCTCTCTCTGTGCTTCAGTTTCCACCTTTACAGAAGAGTGATCTCTATGGTTCCATCAAAGTGAACAACACATCACCTCCTCCCTCCAGTCCTTTTCCAACCCTGAATAAGCAGCTTCTTACCTGTGCAGTGCCCAGCTTCAGAGTGCTCTGCTCTTAGAAGAGACCCTGCCTTCCTGGAAGCCCAGCCTCCCATTGATATGGCTAAGCCCTAATTCTGCTATTCTCCACCAGCTGTCCCTTGAAATGACCAGGATCCTCTCTGGTTACTGCCAAGCCCAGCCAGAGTGAGAGGAAGTAACTCTGTGGGCAATGTAATATGCCTGCAGTTTCTCTTTCTATAGGAGAGAGAAAGCTGAAGGGTGAGGAGAAACATGGATTCCTAGAGAAGCCAGGTTCCTCCGTGCATTCAACACTCCTGGAGAGTTAACTTTGGAACAACATTAAAAAAAAAAAACAAAAACCCAGTGTTTTGACTGGTGCCTTTTGTGGCCTCCCCAAAGGGTGGCACCGAGCTTCTGTAACCCTTCCCTACAGCTGTTCACTCCCACCACTGACTCCTCTGCCAGCTGCATTTCAAGCTGGGCAGCAAAGTTGGATCCTGAGGAAGGTGCCCAGCTTTGCTTTAGGACCCCCGTGCCCCATCATTGAAAACCTGTCACTCTCCCTCATCATTCTAGTCAACTGGGCCCTATGCCATCCTGAACTCCCACAGTCCAGTGGGCACTAGGGCACGCAGGAAGCTCGGCAGCCAGGAGTCTACTCTTCCCTTCTCTGCTACTTCTTCAGGCTGGTCAGTGCTGTCCCCCGTTTTGATTTTACAATCAGAGGGAGCTATTTCTCCTTCTCCACCCAACGTGGAGATGAGCACGCAGAAGGGACTCATAGGGCCTGTCAACTGACACTACGCACATGTCCCTCGGGCCACCTTCTCTGCCCCTCCCCTTCAAAACCAAACAAAAACGGCAAACAGGAAACGCTCGTCTTTTAAAAATTACTCTATTATTATCAAATAGAACCACAGTATCCAAAAGGTAATTATAAACTTCTATCCCCAACTAAATGGCCCTGCACCGCCCCTCCGAGTGGCCGGCAGCCAAATCACTCCCCCCGTGCTGATTGATTTCATCCATTTTATTGTCAAGGAAATTAACAGCCCGAAGGGGTTCCCCAGGCCCACACTCTCCCCACAGAGGCCCAGGGGGAACAGGCAGCAAGCGACCAGGTCTCACTACCCAGAGTCCTTGGGAGGAGGGACGAAAGGGGAAGGGGGGCTCACAGCAGAGGGCTCGGGGCGCCCCGCCCCCGCCCGATGGGCTCGGGCCTGGCGCGGCCCAGGCAGGTGTCCCAGGGGGCTGGGCCCGCGCACCTGGCAGGGGCGGCGGCGGGGCGCACGCTCACTCGCCCGTGTGGGTCCGCAGGTGGTACTTGAGCGACTGCTTGTAGCGGAAGCACTTGGCGCAGTGCGTGCAGGGGTAGGGCCGCTCGCCCGTGTGCGCGCGCTGGTGCTCCAGCAGGTGGTGCTTCTGCGTGAAGCGCTTGCCGCACTCGGCACAGTGGTAGGGCCGCTCGCCCGTGTGGATGCGCCGGTGCTCCAGCAGGTGGTGCTTGCGGATGAAGCTCTTGCCGCACTCGGGGCAGGCGTGCGGCCGCTCGCGCGAGTGCACGCGGCAGTGGTTGGTGAGCTTGGACTTCTCGCTGAAGCTCTTCTCGCACTCAGGGCACTTGAAGGGCCGCTCGCCCGTGTGAGTCCGCTGGTGGCGCAGCAGGTGCGAGGGGCGACTGAAGCTCTTGCCGCACAGGCTGCAGATGAAGGAGACCTCGTGCTTGCCGGCGTGCACGCGCTGGTGGATGACCAGGCTGATGTGCAGGCGGAAGCTCTTCTTGCACTCAGGGCACGTGTAGGGCCGCTCGCCAGTATGCGTGATCTGGTGCTTAGTCAGGCTCGATTTGTGGCTGAAGCTGCTGTCGCACTCGGGGCACTTGTAGGGCTTGGGGCCGCCACCGCTGCCTGAGCTGGGCGACTTGGGGCGCGGCTTGAGCGCGTGCTTGGGGTTGAAGGCGGGCCCGCGCTCCGGCGAGGCGTAGCCGCCGCGCACGCGGTGGATGCGCTGGTGCAGCGTGAGCTGCTGCTTGTGCCGGAAGCTGATCTCGCACTCGGCGCACTCGTAGGGCCCCTCCTTGATGTGGTTGCGCTGGTGGATGATGAGGTTGATCTTCAGCCGAAAGCTCTTGCCGCACTCCATGCAGGTGAAGGGCCGCTCGCCGCGCCGGTTCCGCTGCTGCTGGCTGGAGGCCCCGCGGTTCTCGTTCAGGTGCCGCTCGCCGTGGGAGTGGGAGTGCGAATGCGAGTGCGAGTGGGAGTGCGAGTGCGCATGCGTGGGGGGCGCCAGCCTCTTCACCGCGGGGTTTCCCAGCTGCAGGGGTGGGGGGCTATCCTCGCCTTCGGGGGACATCTCCCCAGGCAGCGGGGTCTGATACATACTGGCCTCATACCTCCCGGACAGCTGCCCAAGGGACTGCAAGTGCTGCGGCAGTTCATCGTCGTCCTCCTCTTCCTCCTCCTCCTCCTGTTCCTCTGTCTTTATCACGATCCCCTCTGCTCCAAGGACAGAGAAAGAGAGACATTAGACCCTAAGTTTGTGTGACATGAGAAAGTCACGTTGTCGCCTAGGGCCACTGACCTGGGTGGAGGTAGAGCATCACTTTCCTCATCAGGAGATACCGCAGATTACCTTGTAGGACCAATTTCTTTCTTTTGGGAAAATCTCACTCCCTGAGGATAATGACTCCAACCCCCACGGGACTGGCCATGTAACCAAGGCTGCCTATGGTGTTTGGTCAGGAACTAGCTTAGGTTTAAACTGGGCCACTTAGAGTTCTCTTTTGGCATTTTATGCAGAGGAGACAGGGGAGGTGGCTCTCTGTTGGGCAAGATTGGAAGCTTTTGGTGCAGCAGCATCCAGCAGAAAAGGATACCAGCTCCAAGGTCTAGTGTAAGTGGCACCCAGATCCAGCTGTACCTGAACTTGTCATACTTGTGAACCTGCCAATTATGTGAGTCCACAAACATTCCTCTTTTTTTTTTTTTTTTAAATTCAGTTGTCAATGGACCTTTATTTGAGTGTGGTGCTGAGAATCAAACCCAGTGCCTCACATATGCTAGATGAGGGCACCCCCCCGCCCCACAAATGTCCCTCTTTCATTTAGGTTTTTGCCAACTGTATCAAAAAGTCTTGATTCAGAGTTTTCCATCTTATTTCTAAGGACTCCTTCACCTGAACTCAGCTAGACTGGCTTCCTTCCTTCCTCAGCCCACCTGGAGATTCTCAGTGTGGTCCTGATTCTCCCTGAGCACTTCCCTGGGACTCTGGCACTCTGCCTTCTCTAGCATATTGTGAGTGTGTACTCACTGCTCCCTCAGACTACCAGTCTTGAACTCTGGGGTCAGGAGGGTGTGTGCAGTGCCCACATGTGGCTCTGACTGGTGGATGGCCTCCCCTCCTCCCAGCTCCCCCTGCTAGTCTGGCCCTTTTAGGCCTAAACAAGGCCAAGTTCTACAGTAGTGCATGAGAATGTAAGTTCAAGGGGAAAGCAGTGGCCTTCTCCTTCTATAACCTCTGTTATTTTAAGTCACTGAATTTGTGTGATATGAGAAAGTCACTTCTGTTTTGTTTTTTTGTGGTGCTGGGGTTTGAACCGAGGGTCCCATGCATGCGGGGAAAGCCCTTCACCACTGAGCTACATCCTCTGCCCCAAAGTCACTCATTTCTCTGAGTCCATCTATTAGACGGGATAAAGTACCAGTCTGAGCTTGCAGAATTCTCACAAAGAACTCTTTGAAAGCACTTCCACACCTCTGCTTTCTCTTCAGATGCACAGTATCTTGGTACAGATAAAGTCAAGAATTATCCCTGTTTCACAGGTGGAGCATCTAAGCCTATGAGATACCAAGTGATGTTTCCTAGTAAAATAAAAAGTCATACACCTTTTTGGAGCTTGTAGCCGAGGGACTGTCTGGTCTACTCCCTCACTGACTGGGAAGCTGAGTCTAGTGATATCTGTGAGCTGGCCTAGGTCTTGTTCAGTTGCTAGTGATGCTCCACTGCTCCTCTAGGGCCTGTAAACTCGTGTTAAAATGGGCCAGTGGGCTGAGTCAGGGCTGCCTCGGCAGTGTCAGGATTCCCAGCAGGAAGTGACTCAGAACATCCTTGGAGCACAATCCCTAAAAGATCAGGAAGGAGGGGGCAGCTGGTCACCCTGGTGTTTATCCTGAAAATATAGTCAGATCTAAAAGGCTGAGCCTTAGGGATGTAAACTCTCCTTGAGCACCAATGTCACTTTTTCCTTAATGAAATGATAAAAATGAAATATTTGGCCCTGAAATTCAAGACTCAAATTTCTACCAACTGCTTAGTATTTTCTAGGTTCTATTAGAATGAATGGAATTAATGGGGAATGCTCAGATAGCAATCTGGAATTCTCAGAATTTGCCTATGTCTTCCGGCTTTTATTTATTTTTTGGTACGAGGGATTGAACCCAGGGACACTCAACCACTAGCCACATCCCCAGCCCTTTTTTATTTTGAGACAAAGTCTTGCCAAGTTGCTTAGGGCCTTATTGGTGAGGCTGGCTTTGAACTTGTAATACTCCTGCCTCAGCCTCCCGAGCCACTGGGATTATAGGCGTGTGCCACTGCGCCCAGCTTTGCTCTTCTTTTATGAAAGCGAGTGTAGTATGTTAAAAAGACTTCTGGGGCTGAGGTTGTGGCCCTGTGGCACAGTGCTCACCTAACACATGTGAGGCACTCAGCACCACATAAAAATAAATAAATAAAATAAAGGTATGAGTCCATCTGCAACTAAAATAATAATAATAATAATAATAATAATAATAATAATAATAATAATAATAATAAAAATACTTCTAGAATACCATATGATTATTTTAAAAATAAGGAGTTAGATCCGTTGCTTGACCGTGTAGGATGCCCATGACCTCTGATTAAGTGCAAAAATGGCAAGCTGTAGAAGAACTATAGATAAAATGGGAAAAAAAAATGGGAAAATAATCTAATAATTAGACTAAAACCAGCTGGGTTCTACCAAATTTTCAAGGAACTTAATTCTTACCTCATTATTATTTTTTTCACCCAGAATATGGAATAAGAGCAAAACCTGCCCAGTCCATCTGATAAATCTAGAATAACACTGTTTCTAAAACTAGATGAGGCTCATTCAGAAAAGCTTAGGTTCATTGCATTTATGAATATAGTTATAAAACCCTGGAATAAAATATTTGTTAAGTCCAACAGCATGTTTAAAAAATACACCATGCTGATGGTGTACACCAAATCCCGGAATGCAAGGGTGGTGGGGCCTCAGAAAAATCTGTCACAAAAACAAGTCCTGGATCAGGTGCTGTGAGCCCCACTGCCTTATATTCTTTTTTTTTTTTTAAAGAGAGAGAGAGAGAATTTTTTAATTTATTTTTTTTAAGCTTTCGGCGGATACAACATCTTTGTTTGTATGTGGTGCTGAGGATCAAACCCGGGCCTCACGCATGCGAGGCGAGTGCGCTACTGCTTGAGCCACATCCCCAGCCCTGCCTTATATTCTTAAGGGTTATTTTTTAAAAAATCTTATTTTTCATGGGGTTCTTTATTTTTTTGTCTTTTTTGGAACTGGGGATCAAACCCAGGGCTTTGTGAATGTGAGACAAATGCTGTGCCACTGAGGTACATCCCAGCCCTGCTTATATTCTTGTACTCCCAAAGAGCTACAGATGCAGAATGATTAAACTTGAGTTTTTTTTTTTTATAATGAACAAAAAATGATGGCTAGATTCTACCAGGGAAAGACAGTATAGAGCAGTCATTTTAAAAACATGCTCTCCAGGGTTGAAATTTCCAAGTTGGTTGAGGCTTCTAATGTTAATGTGGGGCTGGGGATGTGGCTCAAGCGGTAGCGCGCTCGCCTGGCATGCTTGCGGCCCGGGTTCGATCCTCAGCACCACATACAAAGATGTTATGTCTGTCAAAAACTAAAAAATAAATATTAAAAAAATAATAATAATGTTAATGTGACAGGAGAATCAAGAACACCTTGGGAGGAGGAAGTTCTTTCTGGCTGTGGCCTTAGACAATGGATGTGACCTCCCTGCCTCTAGGAGGGGGCTGGATAGATAATCGCCAAGATCTTTGAGTTCTTGTCTGAACCAGTCTTTGGATATAACAACTTCTTTCCTAGCCCAGTGCTGATCAGGAAGTCTCCCCAACCCCTCAGTGTACAGATGTCTTTCTGGAAGACCCCTGCAGGCTTGCCTCACCTGCCTGGAGCTTACCTGTGCAGTTCCTCTGCTGCACCAGCATCTGCTTGAGCTGGCTGAACTCGCCTGAGCCCTCCGTGGACTCCTCCAGGGCGTTCTCCTGTTCCTGCATGTCCAGGTCTGGCTGCTCTCCACAGGGGTCGCCCAGCTCCGAGTCCTGAAAGCCATGTTCTTCCACTTGTCCCATTAGGGGCTCTGGTGTCTCCAAGCTTTCTGAGCCCTCGTCGTTGGTCTGTACCTCGATCTTAATCACGATGCCATCATGTGCTGAGAGGAGGAGGGGGAGAGAATCCAGAACACGGTCATGCACCTGCCCAGGTTTCCACAGCCTGAGAATTTACATTCCAACAGTTCTTATTTTAGAGATCCTGAAGAAATATAATAGAGTTGGTGGTGAGTGGACAGAATTTTCTGGGCACTTGTAGACTTGAACACCAATACAAACTGGAGTCAAGTTAGGACATTTGCAAAGTTTATCCTCTATCAGCCCCACAAGCTTTTAGAGAGAACTCATTCCCTTTCCCAGGTTGGGAAGCCAGGGGCCACACAGTTTCTCTGTGGCTTGCTCATTGTCCAGGTGAATACAAAGGGGTAGGGCCTTCTCCCTTCTACTCTCACCCTTCCAGACCTCCTGGGGCTCTTCCAGCCCAAACTTTCAAGCACATTTAGGAGTACAATAGGAGCAGTTGGATTTTGTTTGTTTTTAAGCTAAACAGCGTCCTTATCATACACTGTGCCTTAAACTATGTCTTTTAGCCCTCCCCATAGGTCTGTGGGTTACCTCAGCTGCAGCGCTGCAAGTCAAGCCATCAACTGACACAGGCTCTTGTGCATACCAGGGGTGCATATCTTTTGACTTGGTGCCAATTAGGTTGTATTTTCTAACAACTTGTAAGAATTCTGGGTCTTGCATTAAAGACAACTCACTTTCTCTCCTCTGTATTTCAAATATTTTTCCCCTCAAATTTGTCATTTGCCAGTTTTAGGTATTTTTTTGCATTACAACTTTTAAAAAGTTTTCATATGTATCCCTCTCTTTCCTGGATTTTCTTAGTTCAAGTCTCCTCTGCTGCTAGATGGTGCATCTGGTTTCCTAGATTATATCCCAAGTGTTTTTTTTTTTGTCTTCTTATTAACATTTTGTAAATATTTTTATTTTTTAGTTGTAGTTGGACCACAATACCTTTATTTTATTTATTTATTTTCATGTGGTCCTGAGAATCAAACCCAGGATCTCGCACGTGCTATGCAGGCACTCTACCACTGAGCCCACACCCCAGCCCTTATTATTAACTTTTTAAAGTCTTCAATACTCTTGAAATTTATTTTTATTGTATATATGGTAGGAGGTATGTGTTCAAGTTTATTTTATTTTTTTTTCATATGGATAGACTTTTGATCTAGCATAAGCCCCTTTAATGTTGAGAAAACACATTTTTTAGTTGAGGAAATGATAAAAGTGTAATGCATAAATATATTCATTCTTTCATTACATGTTCATTGGCATTTCCTAGCACCTGCTGAGGACCTGCAGTGTTCTCCTGACCCAGGATATGTCAGTGAACAGAACTACATCTCACATAAGCCAGTAAACACAGTAAGTAAATTATACCTTAGAAGGTGATAGTGCTGTGGGGGGTGAGTGGGGAGCAAAGTCAAGTGAAGGAGGCAGATAGCCCTGCCCACAAGAAGCCTCCTCCGGTCCTGTCTTCTCTTTTCCAGTCCAGTGTGGAACAGGTCACAGAGTAATCAGACCAACCCACTAGGCTGAAAAGGGATGCCCTGTGACCTAATGCTGGGTCATTTCTGATGCTCAGCAACCCTTAATACCTCCCTGATCAGTCATGACAACCCATTGGGAAGTAGGTGGAATATACAGCAGCTCTAATGTTCCCATGGTGTAGTTTTGATAGCCTTCAGTGCGGACCCTGGCTACCTTCCCTTGGGGCAGGGGAAATGTCCCACTCTCACCCTACAACATTTTCTGTATCCTGTTCTCTAGTAAACAAAACACAAAAGTCATCCACATTTACACCTCCTCCTCCTCCTGTTCAAGCTGAAAGTCACCACCTTTCCCTTGCTATGGTTTGGATGCTTTAAGGGTCTGTGTAGTAAGTAGGGTCCCAGTGTAATGGTATTGAGGTCATGGGGCCTTGAAGAGATGATTAGATTGGGGCACTGCCTTGTGAGGGTAGTCATGCTGATCTCTCACAGTGGGTTAGAGAAAGCTAGCTATTACAAAAGAGCAAGGTTGGCCTCTCTGAGCTCGTCTCATCATGTGATATCTCCCTCTCTCCCTCTCTCATGTATTCCCACTATGGGGCCGTCTGCCATGCTATGATATAACCAGAAGGTCATCACCAGAGTCAAAAGGTGCAGACGCCATGCTCTTTGACCTCCATAAGCTTATTTTCTATATAAAGTGCCAAGCTTCAGATATTTTGTTACAGCTACATAAAATGCCCCCTTTTCTCACCAATCTCAGGAAAAGTAGGGTCCCATCTCCCCCTTCTTCCTTTAACCCAAATCCTCTGTTCCTTAACCTTGCCCATGTTTTCCTTCTGGAAATTTGCTCCAAAAGTATGTTCCTTTCTCCTATCTTCAAACTTTGTCCCTGTACTAGATCATTATGCTCCCTCTACAAACATGACTTTCTTGTTTCACAAACTCTTGAAATATTTTGGTTGCCTACTCCCTAAAATAATTTTTCAAAACTGTGTGCCCCTTTGCACCATTCTGAATAAATATATAAAATGCGTCAGCAACTGCAAAAGATGTAATTTCTGGAATATTCTAAATATTGATATTTTGAAGTAAACCCTTCCCTCATACCTTAATGTCACCAGTGGAATCTAAGAACCCTAGCAATTTTTAAACCCACCATTATTCACTTAAAAAAATATGTGAACAAGTACTTCTTTGACAGTTGGAATTTTTACATCATTCCTTTTCACCTTGAACTTCTATTTCCATTCCCACTTTGCCCACAACATTTTATCCTAATAGAGCATATTTTTATGCTTAGAAGGCTTTTACTGATCGCTTCATCTGCCACAAAAATGTGTTTGTAAATTGAAAGTTTAATTTTGCTTTCATTTCTAATAACCATAGGGCTATAGGTATTCATTATTTTCCTGGATGAGGTTATCCTTTGTGATTATTACTACAGAATGATAACCAATTATCCAAGATAGAAAAGAAAAAACTTTTGGAAATGTATCTTTTGAGGATGAATAGGGATTATTTTTTTCCAACTAGTTCACATATCTGAGAATGAATACATATTCTTATTGTATTAAGAAACAGAGTTCAGAATCACTTCTATTATAATTTTCATTATCACAAATGCAAGCATTGGGAAACCTCATTTCATCAATATGTAGATGGGTTAGAAGAAGCTGTTATGAAACTGTCACTCAATTCTTTGAATTTATCCTGAATTATATGCCACAAAAATCAGATGGTTAATATATTATAAAAAATTGTGGGAATGGGATTGTGGCTCAGTGGTAGAGTGCTTGCCTAGCACATGTGAGGCACTGGGTTTGATCCTCACATCAGCACCACATAAGAATGAATGAATTAATGAATGAATGAATAAACAAATAAATAAATAAATAAAGGCATTGTGCTCATCTATAACTAAAAATATTTTTTAAAAAACTGTTCTTAATAGCCTATTAGCTGACAAATTGATTAGTTTCTCTTTCAATTTTATTGAAAGGGAACTATTTCAAACAATCTAACTTGGAATAGAATTTGCCTTTCAGGCCCAAGAGATGCCCTTCTTGTCATGTACATCCTGGATTCCCTCTGTTTGGTGACCCAAAGGGTCTATATGAAGAGGAGTGCTCCATAGTGAGAGGGATGGCCAGGAGGGGTCCTCTGTGTTTTCACACAGTGGAAGACGTGGGAGATGAGGACACATTTCAGGAGCCACATGTATATATGTTGGCCAATCAGTTTATGAATGAGAACGGGGGTCAAGGACCTGCAAAGGGAGCCTCAAGGCCACCCATGTTGTGCTCCTCTTGGAGAAGTTCCTATGCCCTCGAGACCATGAGTGCTTGGCGTGAAGACTAGTGTCTCTGCACCTGCCCTGACCCAGAGACCCAGTCCATGTCCCCTGTTCCACCCCACACCTAACTAACCTGTCAGTGAAACCTGGCTGGCCTTGGAACCCAAGCCCTTCTCCCTCCCCTTAGGGCACCGCATGCTCCCTCAAAACATCTTTTCATGCCCCAGTTGCTTGTTATATAGACAGTAGGGAGCCAGTGCTCCCCCCCAAAACAACTTTGGTAAGCATATGTACAAACAAACTGCATTTATAAGCATTTACAACTTTAAAAGCCCGGGACATCACTTTTACAGCTCTGAAAAGAGAAGCAGGTCATTCCTCAACCTCTAGGGCCTCAGATAATTCTTCTAGAAGCAGTATGGCCATTGGTACCAAACACCTCAAATGCATCTAAGTCACATCAACTATTAAGTTTTTGCTGTAAATTGTTCTGAAAGATGTTTGCTTTGACACTGGCTATGAGAAATTCACTTAATCTGTGATTGGCTCTTGATCTCTGTAATTACATGTGCACCTAAGAACTCTTGAGAAATGGGAAAATCTAGCCTACAAATTGTTTTCAAATATATTAAATGTTTTTGAAGCCTGAACTTAATAATTGATGGAACAGATATAATACTATATTCTGGAGACACTTAGTTAAAATAAACATTTGATTATTTACATTTAGCAATTTTCTTTTTGTTTCCTAGACAAGGAGAAAAAAACAGTTCCAAGTTTTTAATGCCTTCATGGGTTTTCAAGAAGCTCATGGAGCCAAGGCCTGTGATGGTAGGTAGCATTTACCAAATAAAATGGCCTAGGTAAATAAATTTGCACTTGACGGGAAACCCAAATACCATAAAGAAAATGATAAGTCTGAATACACAGAAACTTAAAATGTGTGAATTTGACATCATGTACAACCACAAGACTAGGATCCCAATTAGAAATAAAATATACTCAATATCTGTATAAATATGTCAAAACATGTTCTATCATCATGTATATCTGAAAAGAACAAATAAAAACTTAAAATTGCTATACTCTACATATAATGCTATGGTCAAAAATAAACCCAATACCAAGGAAAATATTTGGATACATATGATACACATGAGCTAATATCCTTGGAATTTAAAAAACTTTTGGGCTGGGTGTAGTTTGGTGGTACGAGGCTTGTCTAGCATGTAGGAGGCCCTGAGTTTGA